GGGGAAGTCCAGGGGCAAGCCTGGGAGCAAAGGGAAAGGTAAGCCCCCCCAGCCGAACAATCAGGCCTCCAGGGGCAGTAACAAGCAGGCGGCCACCGATCCGAAAGGGAACCAGTTCTGTAACAACTGGATGCGCGGGCGCTGCCCGGGCAACTGCGGACGCACGCACAAGTGCAACCTCATCCTGGCGACGGGCCGCATCTGCCTGGGAGACCACCTCCCGCAGGACTGCCCGGGTTGACTAGGGGCTCGGACCCCGACCCCCCGGGAGGCCTCAGGTGCCGAGGGCCCTGATAGGGCCCGGGGGGGCGAGAGGGGGCGAAAACGCCCCAAGCAGGCACATGAGCCCCCTCCTGCAGGTGCCGAGGGCCCTGACACAGGGGGGGGACAGGCCAGGTGGCGGCCCTCCTCGGCGGAACAAGGATGGGGACGACAGAACCAGCGTGCACAACACCCCAGCTGGGGTCAGAACAACCACACAGCTGACACAACGGCAACGCCGCAGCCCCGTGCCACAGGTGCCGAGGGCCCTGAGATGGCAGGGGCGGGACGGTTCCCCGCAGGTGCCAAGGGCCCTGACACGGGGGGCCGCGCCCAGCAGGCCCGAGTGCCGGACAACTGGCAGCACACCGCAACGCCGAGGAACACGCCCAGGAGGCAGCCGATCCCACTTCCGGCGCCCAACATCATCAAGCAGGACCCGGTGGTTTTTCATAAGAGTTCTGTTGGGCTGAATGAAGGGGGCCAACGCCTTTCAGCTACCCCCCTGACAAGTCCCACGGAGCTGTCACCGGGAGGGGACACCTTCCCGTGGATGGAGAACATCCCGGAGCGCCTGGTACAGCGGCTGAGATGGACACAGGGCACATCGCCCAAAGTTCCATCCAGTGGGCCCATCATTGTCCTGCTCTATGCAGGCAAGGAAGACCCAACTTCCTTAGACAGCTGTCTTCATGCCAACTACCCGCACCTCTCCAGCATGGTGGTGGCAGTAGACATCCTACGATCCGGGACCAAAAGGGAACCACGACATGCTCCAACCCGAGCTGTATGGAGCGCTCTGCACGGCAGCAAAGCAGGGCCGAGTGGTCTTCATTGGGGGAGGACCCAACTGCAGGACATGGTCCATCCTGCGCCACATACCAAAACCGGGGGCCCCCACCCCGGTGCGAGGACGCACTCGAGAGACACTTTGGGGCCTCCCACACCTGGACCAGGCCGCCCAGACTCAGCTTGATGAGGACAGTACCCTCATTTTGAGGCAGATGTACATCACCAGCCTGGCAAGGGCCTCAAGATCGGCGGTCTCTCTGCCAGGGCCAAAATCCTTCTTGGAGCACCCGGAGGACCCAGTGGTGAGCAGCTCGCTGCCCAAAGCCAAGGAATGCTCATCCTTCTGGATCACGGAGGAGGGGCAGCTTTGGATGGAGGAAAACTCCTTGACAGCAATCTCCTTCGACCAGTGCCGCCTGGGCCAGCTGGTCAAGAAGGCCACCACACTTGCCACGGATCTCCCAATCCAGGACTGGGATCAAATGCGGTGCACACATCAGTCACATGTGGGCACCAGCGAGTCCTCGACTCTCAGCAGATACCCCTGGGATATGATGGCAGGCCTGGCCAAAGCCATCGCTGTGTCACTCGCAGCGCCGGGGCACATCCGGATCCCCTCACAATTCCCGGGAAACCCTAAGGAACCACCTAAGGGAAGGGGGTCGGACCCCCCTGGGGGCCCTGCTCCCCGGGGAAAACGGGGACCCAATCAGGGAGGCGGTCCCTCCTCGTCACACCAGGGCCCAAGCCCCGCCAGCACGGGCACATCCACCATGAGGCAGACACCGTAAGCCCTCGTGGAACTATGAACCCAGACTTCCCATCTCCCATGCCCCCGATGGCCGGAGATGCGGAACAACTGGGAAAGGAAGAACATGGGGACCAGGTCCTGGACCGCCCCGAATGTCTGCCCGCCTTCCGGGTCCCACGCCTCACTGACCGAGTTGCGATTGTCCAATTGGGTTTCCGCTCACGCCCCCTGAGAGATGGGGGGGGAAACCTTCCCTGGGGAGGCTCAACCCCCCTTTCGGAGAATTTCCCCTTTGGCTACTTTGGGCGCCCTGATCATGACCCTTACCAGGCCCTGGATTGATAAGGTCCGGATGTCCCTGGCATCAGGTGCCACCACACACCCCTTCCAGGAAGCCGACCTCGAGGAGCTGCGGGCTATCCTAGGACCGAGGCACCTCCATGAACGATGCCCAGGACAACCCTTCCTCCTGGACTTAGTGTCGCACTTGGCATCCCTTTCAGGTGACCCTGATTGGGAGTTCCCCCTAACACTGAAAGAGGGGGTCCCCTTGGGAGTCTCGGACCCTACCTTGACCTCCCCGGGAGTTTGGCCCACTAAGGAGGAGCTTAAGGGAGAAGCCTGGCTGGGGGAAGATCCCCCCCCGCCAGTGGCTCATGATAACTACCCAACGGCTGAACTCTTTGCCAAGGAAATCGAATCAACCTTTTACGAGGAACGAGCCTTGGACATGGTGGACGGGCCCTTCACTCGCTCCGAGGCGGCGGAGAGGTGCCGCTGCAAACCGGAGGAACTTTGCCCGGGCCCCCTTGCAGGGATTGATGAGTCGGACAAGATCAGGACGATCTACGATGGCTCCAAAGGGGGAGCAAACGCACACATCCAGGCTCACACAGGGGAGAAGACCACTGCACCGATGGTCGGAGACTGCCTCCACGCCATCCACTGGCTCAGGACAGCGACGGACCATCCCCATCTACTTTGGGCCACGCTCCCGAACACTGAGGAGAGACTTCGGGATGTTCACCAGCCGGTGCAGGGGCAGTCCCCAGGTGCCGAGGGCCCTGAGAGGGACCCCCGCAGCACCAGCCTGCCCCCCAGGGCCGAGGGGCCTGATCGGGGCAGGGGGATTATGGATACCTCCGGCGGCATGGACGTCTCTCTGGGATCGACACCCTCAGAAAAAGGACCACTCCCAGGTGCCGAGGGCCCTGATAGGAGGGCCCCCTTCCCCCCAACCCCCCCGGGCACGGAATGCCCTGGGGGAGCGGGGGGGAACCCCTGAGATGGCAGCCGCCGACACAGGGGGAAACCTTCATCATCCTCAAGGCAGATGTCACCAAGGCCCACAGGCGTATTAAAGTGCTCCCTAAAGACTGGAAATACCAGGTGGCCTGCATCCAAAACCGGTGGTGGGTCAACAGAGTGGGCACGTACGGCATGGCCTCGGCACAGTTGTACTGGGGAAGAAAGGCATCCCTGGTGCTCAGGCTCTTGTACTACATCTTCCCCCAGGTGGACTGGCACTTAGTCTTTGTGGACGACTACTGCTGGGTCCTCAGATGCAGCCGGGCGGACTGGGACGCCACAGCCATCTTGGCTACACTGCTGGCGCTGGGAGTCCCGCTTTCCTGGAAAAAGACGGCGCTCTCCCCGATCAATACCTGGTTGGGTTTTGTGGTGGACCCAATCACGCCCTGTGTACTGCTGGCTCCAGTCAAACACGTCATAATCCTGGCCACTCTTAAACGGCTGGCCCAGGGGGACATCTTCACCAGCAAGGAGGTGGAACAAGCCCTAGGCCGTATTCAATGGGCTACTTCGGCGTGCCCATTGACGAAACCTTTCCTCCAGCCTTTTTGGAGCTGGAAGAAGGCCTGCACCACTTCGGGCAGGCCACCGAAGCTGGTTCGTGCTCTGGCCATACTTTTGGGGAGACTCTTCAACCAGAGGTTCCCACTGGCATCCCCGTTTGCTCCCACACTCCCATGGACGGGGGCATCTGATGCGGGAGCTGGCAGACAGGCGGACCATGCATGGGTGGGTGGTTGGTGCTCGGACGTGCCCAACCCCGACAAGTCCCGTGTTAAGTGGTTCCAGCACAGAATCACGCCGGAGGGCGAGCCGTGGGCCTTCACTACTGGGGACCCGCAGCGGGCGATAGCGGCCTTGGAGCTCTTCGGCCTCCTCCTTTTGGTGAGGGCCGTTCTGCTTTGTGCAGCCGGCTCGGCTTCTCACACTAGGATCCTGGTGGCTAGTGATAACCAGGGAAATGTTTTCTCCCTTCTTAACGATTCCACTCGTAGGATGCCCAATGCGGCCATCCTCATGGAAATTGTGCTCACGCTGCATGACCAGCAGGTCATGTTGGGGCCGTCGCATGTGAAACGCGACTTCAACACGTGGGCGGATGAGCTTACTCATCCGGACCCGCAATTCCCGACTGAGAACCGGGTCTTCCCCTCAGTCGAGAGCGAATTGATCACACTGATCTTCGCTACTTTCCTTCCTCACCCATGATGCCGGGAGGGCATCCGGTGAGGTGGGAGGATTTCTCCCTCGCTGTGGGAGTGGCATCAATCCTACTCCCATCAGCTGCTGAGGGGAGCTGCCCAGTGGAACTGGGCAATCCTCCCATTTTGGCACTAACCCTTATGCGGCAAAAAGGAGGCACCGTTTTGCGAATAAGGCCTCAGTAGCACCTGAGTGGTGCTTCAAAGAGTCTGGAGAAACTATGGGCAGCTGAACGTAGAACCGGTGGATGTGCAGCCGATGAATGTTACTTGGGGTACGTATTGTGGGTTTTGTGAATTGGAGTAATTTGCCCAGATCCATCCTTCATAAATCTTCAGAGTTGGTTTCCGCTCGCAAACCACCACCCCGAGGGTGGCGTACAGCCTTATGAGTCTTTTATGCACTACGAATGGTTTACCGCTGATTTGGGGGGCATGGACCACCCAAGGTACCCACAACCACCTTTTGGTGAAGCAAGTCATCCTGTCCGTTGCTCATATTCGGCTTAGCACAAAGGGGTTGAGCGATTGTTCTTAGGCTCCGCTTAGGGGCTATCAATCATGGGGACGAATTGTGTATAGATGTGTTTAGCAATGCCCAGGGTCTGTTTTGGTACGTACCTCGTGGGAGCGTCAAAATGATGCACCAGTCGGGAAGGGTCAAGCCCTATGAATGTAGCCAGGACGCGGCCAAGTCCCTGCACACCTCGCTGGGGTTGGGGCCCCAGCTCCCTCAGCCGCTGCGCGTCGCCCAAAGACTCCCATTGAGTTGGACATGTTTGTTTATTATAATATTATCTTTGAGAAAACGTTTAATGTCCCACATTCCTTTTGTTTTCTGGTTCCCCATATTTGCTTTGTTTTCAGTACCCCATGATCCCCATGATCCCCATGATCCCTATGATCCCCATGTCCCCATTCTTATCGTTTCCCAAAATATGTGGAAACCCTAATGGCAATGGCTTGCTTGTGGCTTGCCTTTAAACGGCGACCATGAAAAGGGGGGAGGCTAAAATGAGAACATCCTCCAGATGGGTGTCTTCTTTGAGGGTATGCAGGGCACCTGGAACCTGAAGGAAACCATCCATTTTGGGGTTCCCCTATATTGAAAGCCAGATATTCCTTTCGGTATGTTCTGGACATATTTGTGACGGTCAACTCTGCGGGCCTTAGGAACCGTACCTGGGGCGTGTTCACGTGCAAACTGGCCCTTGATTTGTAGGTTTTGTCCAAAGGAAACCACAAGGGGAGAAAACAGCCCGTTTTTCCCGCACACCACTCATTTGGGTGACTTGTTTTGCTACCAGCGAACCAGGAGTTGTGAATGGGCATTCCCATTTTGGAAGTGGTCAAAGATCATGGACCCGCCCGCCCAGGCAAGCGCTGCACCGGAAGTTTCAGCGCCTCACCAAGGCCAGGGCCTCAGGGTGAAGGCTGAAGGCTCTCTAGGTTGAAGATTCACAGCCCAAGGCTAACCAAAACACAACAGTACATTGGGGACCCCCAAAGTGAATACTCTAAAGCGCAAGGTCAACTTCAGATTACTCCGGACCACACGCGAAACAGGGGGGGTGCCTCGTTGAGGAGTTCCCTCGTTTTAAGGGGATTCATGTGATTAGCATAGTCCTTCGGATTTAGTCCGAACTTGACATTAGAGATACTCTGCGAAAAAGTTCCTTTGTTTGAAAGGGTGCTGCCCAATGGCAAGTAGAGCCCGGGGCGGAAGCTCAGGCCCAGATCGAGTCTAAATCAAGGCTTTGAAAGCCTAGCTGCACAGGTTTGCAGGGACAACTGGGGGTCAAGCGGGGGTCAATGTGGCTTAGTGTCAACCCCGGATGAGTCAATTTCGCCCCAATGGATTTCACACATGGGGCACCCCCCATCAACATCAGCCAGGGCTTCTCTGCCCAACAAATCGACCTTTTGTCCTGCTAGTTTGCACTTGGCCCGATTTTTGTCATTACCCCAAACGGTTTATGTCCAGGTCCTTTAAAAGGGCCCCCCACACTGATGGGTTCCTTCTTGATTCCTTTTAAAACCACCACAAAAACGTATCCTGGAAAGAAAACACATAAACTTCTGCTGTCCAAACTGCGCCTTCCGAATTACCTGAGAGACGTCGCGCACCAAGGTGACCTCCAAGCGCAAGGTGTGAGGGCTTTGTACACAGTGAGCATCGAGGCCTTTATGTGGGCCTGTTGTTGGAAAAAAAAGGCGAGCCTTTTGATTTTGGTGTGGGAGTTTTTGAATTGGATTTATGTTCGCCAACGTTCTATCCAGTGGAGTCCATCATAATATCGGTCAGTGAGACATGTGTAGCACATGCTAGGTTCCGATACTCGAGACAAGCCGCAAGTTTCACGGCGTTCTAAATCAGGAGGCCGATGAACATCGAGCGGGCAAAACACTTAAACCATGAGAATCATACATCTATAATATATTATAAATTGAATCACTCTTTGATACATGGTTGAGCAAATAAGTATTGAATAATACATAATATATATTTAATTCATTTATATATGGTCTAGGCCGTGGATCCTTTTGCTTTGGGTGGGTGGTTGGTGGTTGGTGGCTGGTGTGGTTAGGGCATGGTTTGGGTTGGTTTAGGATTCGTTTGGGATGATTTGAAATTGGAAATTATTAGATTGAATGAAATGATTATTATATTTAATATGTTTATTGAAATTAAAAATACTATTATATATATAATGTGTATATGTTTGTATGTGTGTATATATATATATATATATGAATTGCATATGTTTAGAATAATGAATTTAAATGTTATGGTGATATTTAAAGAAGAAGAAAAAACGATTTGTTTTTCCCCAACAGCTGAAAGCTTTGGGGTCTCAGCCCAGATAGGCTCCGGGGTGGTCCGGGGCGGCCCTGAGGTAAGGTTCCACGAGGGTTCCACCAGGGTTCCACCCAGGGTTCCGCGAGGTTCTGCGAGGGCTGCGGGGTGGTGCGAGCACTAAAAAGAGCACCGCATGCTGTTGGGGATATCACCTGAGCTTATTATTCTCCTATAAACCGGTGCGGCCTCGGGTTCGCATTTTTTGCGTGCACCGCAGAGCCGTTGTAGCGGCACTCCGGCCGAATTGTCGTGCTTGCGGCCAGCGGCTATGCCTGTCCCGGTCTTTTCTCCGTGGCACAAGCTCCTGCCTCTTAGCGCGGCCCGGAAGTCCCCAAAATTTCGCTGAAATTTCGGGCCGGGGGGGTTCTTCAGATCTTCGCTTAGAGTTCTCGCGGCATAACCTGGCCAAATTTTCTCAAATGTTGGGTCGCTTCCGGCCACCCGGCTCTCAGATCTCCAGACGTTACCCCCGCAAGTTTCTTCAGAATTGGGCGGCTTTCCAAAAAAAAACGGGTCAAATTTCCCGGAAATTTGGGGACCTGCCCGACTCGAAATTTCTCGAAAATTTCGTGCTTTCCCTCAGTCCCTCTTTCTCTCTTTCTCCTTGTCTCTCTGTTTCTCTTTGTTTCTCTCTTTTTCTCTTCCCTCTTTCCCTCTTTCTGCTTCCTCTCGTTCTCTCTTTCTCTGTTTCTCTCTGGCTCTCTTTCTCTCTTTTTCTCTTTCTCCTTTTTCTTTCTTTCTGTCTTTCTCTCTGTTGCTCTGTCGCTTCATCTCTGTGTCTCTCTGTCTTTCTGTCTCTCTGCCTCGCGGCCTCTTTGTCTCTCTGTCTCTCTGTCTTTATCTCTCTGTCTCTCTGCCTCTCTGTGTTTTTGTGCGTCTCTGTGTCTTTGTGTCCTTCTGTGTCTCTCTGTGTCTCTGTCTCTTTGTGTTCTTCTGTGTCTCTGTCTCTTTCTGTCTCTCTCTCTCTCTCTACCTCTCACTCTGTCTCTCTGTCTCTCTGCCTGTCTGTCTGTCTCTCTGTCTCTCTTTCTGTCTGTTTGTTTCTGTCTGTCTGTCTCTCTGTCTGTCTACCTACCTCTGTCTGTCTGTCTGTCTGTTGTCTGTCTGTCTCTGTTCTCTGTCTGGCTGGCTGTCTGTCTCTGTGTCTCTGTGTGTCTCTGTGTGTCTCTGTGTGTCTCTGTGTGTCTCTGTGTGTCTCTGTGTGTCTCTGTGTGTCTGTGTGTGTCTGTGTGTGTCTGTGTGTGTCTGTGTGTGTCTGTGTGTGTGTGTCTGTGTGTGTGTCTGTGTGTGTCTGTGTGCGTCTGTGTGTGCCTGTGTCTGTCTGTCTGTCTGTCTGTCTGTCTGTGTCTGTCTGTCTGTCTGTCTGTCTGTCTGTCTGTCTGTCTGTCTGTCTGTCTGTCTGTGTTTCTGTATGTCTGTCTGTCTGTCTGTCTGTTTGTTTATGTCTGTGTGTCTGTTTGTTTGCGTCTGTCTGTCTGTCTGTCTGTCTGTCTGTCTGTCTGTTTGTTTCTGTCTGTCTGTCTGTCTGTCTGTCTGTCTGTCTGTCTGTCTGTCTGTCTGTCTGTTTTTGTCTGTCTCGGTCTCTGTCGTCTTTGTCTGTCGCTGTCTGTCTCTGTCTGTTTTTGTTTGTCTCTGTTTGTGTTTGTTTGTGAGTGTGTGGTTGTTTGTGTTTGTCTGTGTTTGTCTGTCTTTGTTTGTCGTTGTTTGTCGTTGTTTGTCTCTCTATGTCTTTGTTGTGTCTAGGTTTTTTTGTTTTTGTCGATGTGTTTGTTTTCTTTTTTGTTTTTGTGTATGTTTGTGTTTGTTTTTGTTTGTTTTATTTTTGTTTAGTTGTGTGATGTTGTGTTGTTTGTTTTGTTTATGTATTTTTTGTTTTTTTATTATTTATTTATTGTATTGTATTTGTTGTTATTTGTTTGTTGGTATTTGTGTATTGTTATGTATTTGGTATTGTTTGTTTGTTGTGGTATTTTTGATTGTTTGTTGTTGTTTAGTTGATTAATATTGTTTTTTGGTTTATTTTTGTTTTTGTTTGTTTTTATTTGGTTGTTTTATGGTGTTTTATGGTGTTTTTGTGTTTTTGATTGGTTTTGATTGGTTGTTATTGTTTGTTTGATTGGTTTTATGATGTGTTTGTTTGTTTGTTTATTTGCGTTTGGTTGTTTGTTTGGTTTTTTATTTATGTTATTTGTTTTTGATTGATTATTTTTATTTATTTAATTTTATTTATTTGGTTGTTTTTGATTGTTTTATATGTTGTTTGTTTTGTTTGATTTGTTTGTGGTATTTGTTTTGCATGTTTAATTTGTTTTGCTTGTTTAATGAAAAATATATTTTATAATGATAATTTGTTATAAGAATTATTTTTTAATTGGATATTATTAATATTATATTTTATGATTTTATTTTGAGATGGATAAATGGTTTAATTCTTAAGTATTATGGTATTGAAATTAATTAGATTTTTTTATGTGTATAATTAATATTGACATTTATATATTTATAAGATTTATTATTATTTAAATTTTAATAATGATAATAACATTATATTTAAAAATATGTTTTTTATAACTATGTTTGATATATGATCGATTATATTTATATGTTTTTTCTCTATGGCACAAGTTCCCGTTTTTTCGCGCGGCCCGGAAGATTCCGAAATTTGGGGAGTTCTTAATAATTGTGCTTAGAATTCTCGTGGCGTAATCCGGCTAAAAATGCCCGAATTTTGGGTCGTTTCCGGCGACGTAACTCTTAGGTTTCCGGAGGTTACCCCCTCAAATTTCTTCAGAATTTGGCGACTTCTTAAAAGTATTACAAGAAATTTATCCGAATCGAAATGTTTCGAAAATTTCGTGCCGGGTGTCTATGTATCTTTGCCTTTCTCTGTGACTCCCAGTCTGTTTCCGTGTATTCGTATCTATTTATTTCGTAATCTTTGTCTTTCTCTGTCTATCTTTATGTATCTTTGAATAAAGTGGGAATGGTTTTAATATGAATTTATAGAAATCTCGTAAAATGATAAAGCCCCAAAAACGAGAATATGGTTTGTGATATAATGTAATATAAAGTTGCGAATTTCGAGTTGGAGTAACGGAAATAAATTTCGTATATTTTACTTATGTTATGATATTGTAATTTTCGAGTTGATGTTATGGAAATATATTTCGTAAATTTGATTTGCATTATAAAATTATGATTTTCTAGTTGGAATTATGGAAATATATTTCGTATAATAGGTTTATATTACAAAATTGTAATTTTCGATTTGGAATTATGGATATATATATATATTTCATATATTAGATTTGTATTACAATGTTGCGATGTTCGAGTTAGAGCAAAGACATATATTTCTTATACTATTTTTTTTTCTAAAGGTTGCGATTTTCGAGCTAAAGTTACGGAATTGAATTTTATATGATAAAATTGTGATTTTCGAGTTGGAATTACGGAAATATATTTCATGTATTAATTTCGTATTTGCAAAATTGCGATTTTCGAGCTGGATTAGTGAAAATATACTTTGTGTATTAGATTTGTATTTTAAGATTGCGATTTTCGAGCTGGAATTCTGGGAATATATTTTGTATATTAATTTCGTATTATACAATTGCGATGTTCGAGCTAGATTTACGGAAATGTATTTCGCGTACTAGATTTGCATTTTTAGGTTGCGATTTTCGAGCTGGAGCTATGGAAATATACTTCGTACACTAGATTTATATTACAAAATATTACAAAAAAGAATTGGAATCGAGGAAGTGGGTTTCGTATATTGGATTTGCGATTTTCGAGCTAGAATTACGGAAGAGTAATTTCGATTTTAATACAAAATTGTGATTTTCGAGCTGGAGTTACGGAAATGGATTTCGTGTATTGTATTACAAAATTATGATTTTCGAGTTAGAATTGCGAAAGTGTATTTCAAGTATTAGTGTTGTTTTATAAAGTTACGATTTTTGAGTTGGAGTTATGGAAATCGATTTCATATATTAGATTCGTATTATAAAATTGTGATTTTCGAGTTGGAATTATGGAAATGTATTTCGTGTAGTAACTTTGTATTGCAAAATTGCGATTTTCGAGCTAGAGATACGAAAATGAATTTTATGTAATAGATTTGTGCTATAACATTACGATATTCGAGCTGGAGCAAAAGAGTATATTTCGTATATTAGATGTGTATTATAAAGGATGCGATTTTCGAGCTGGATTTATAGTATTTCGTATATTAAAAGATATATATTTCGTATACTATATTTGTGCTACAAAATTGTGATTTTCGAGTTAGAGTTACGGAAATATATTTCGCCTAGGAGATTTGCATTACAAAATTGCGATATTTTGGTTAGAATTAAGGAAATACATTTCGTGTG